AAAATTTTTTTTTTTTTTTTTTTTTTTTTTTTTTTTTTTTTTTTTTAATATGTGTGTGTGTGTGTGTGTGTGTGGGGTAAAAAAAACTCTCTTTGGTAGGGTGGAGTCAAGGGAGCAGAAGGATCACAGGAAAGGGACTAGAAAATACATTGAAAGAAATAGATGGTTAATAATTATTATAGGATTTCTTAATAACATGACTGACTATCTTCTATACCACCTGATATTTACTTCAATTTTTTTCCTCCTATGAAACTATGAAAGTTGCAGGCTAACTACCAGAAGGTCACGAGTACTAATATTAGGGTATCACTGCCGAACGTCCTCCAATATACCCCTATTTCTGGAGCAGTTGGATTAAGAAGATCGATAGAAGGAAAAGGATCACGGTTCCACCTTCTAGTTGCTAATTGTGATCGTGTGGCCATAGAGACCAACAATGAGGGTCCTAAAACTTTCGAAGGATCATGTTCTAATGATGGGTCCTCAGCAGCAGATGAAAAATCTTCAGGAAAAGATGACAAAGTTCAACCTACTGAAGATGTTGAGTTGGCACCTCGAGGTTCTGAGCCTTCCAACGGGTCAATCGATTCCACAAATTTGAACGCTGGAGAATCTGCAATCAAGTCAAGCTCGACCCCAAAAAGAACTCCATTAACAGCAAGAGAGAGACTTAGGGCAGCCCGGGTATTGAGTCGCTACACAGAGTCGAAGCCATCTAAACCAGAGCTAGGGAGCAAATTATTAGAGGCCTTACGAGAAAGTGATAAAGGGAAAAGACGCCCTGGCCTCCCAGAAGCACCTTCAAATATGCTAGATGACAGCAAAAGGGGATTACCAAAGCCGGGCTGGACGTTCGAATTTCCCGGCGGTGTCGATGTGTTTCTTGTCATCTTGTCGTTTGTATTAATCAGCACTATAATGTTTGCAACAACATTCATTGTGTGGAAAGTCGGTGCCATTCATTTCAATGAATACTAAGGTAAACTTCGAAATTTTCTACGCAATTGTACTTGCACGTACAGAATTTAGCTTGGCCAAACAAGTGAATATCTATATAATTTTCTTTTCGAGATCTTCGGTTTTGTTTATTTTGTATTGATTAACGAACTGAAATACTAGTTTATTGTTCTCAAACTTGTTGGATTAATGACATTTAGACAGATTATTATTATTATTATTATTATTATTATTATTATTATTATTATTATTATTATTATTATACTTGTTATGCTTTACGATATTGAGTGCTGAGCTCTTAATAGACGGAAAGTGGTCGTGAAGATGGATGAGCGAAATTGGGAAACGAGAAAATATTGTGTGGATGAATTTGTCATGCTGAATAATCATCTTACTCAAGTACTCTAATGATAATTTAAATTTCTCTCTTTTTCTGAAATAGTATAAAAATGAAATTGTTTGTTTCATGTGAAAAATCATTAGGAAATACATTCATGTCAAATTTGGAGGATTCCTTCCTACTACTTTAACATGGACAGAGTATCTTGTCTAATGTACAAAATATACCATCAACTCGTTGAAGAAAATTAGGATGTGTTTGATTACAAGTTGAAATTTGCATAGAAAGACAATAAGTTTTAGGTAATTCAATTGTCCAGAACTTATTTGCATGGAAATT